GATTATGGCAAAAATCATAATCTCGATTATTTGGGTCAATAATTGATATCACGATTATTAAAAACGATTATCCGTTTACTTTGAAAACATCCATTTATTGAAAAAGAAAATGTGAACAGTATGTTTTTATCAGTTGATTACCCTGAACTTTAAGTGTAATTCAACTGAAAAACCAATAAAAAAAAAAAAATATATATATATAATCGTTTTATTTCGATTATGTTGTTTTCATAATCGTTGCAAGCCAAAACTGTAATTGCGATTAAAATACGATTAATTGAGCAGCCCTACATCATCTCCCAATAAAACACTAAACTCCCTCAAACTTACTTCTCTTTATAAATGAATTCGAGTGGGAATGTTTTTTTTGAAAGGTTAAACGCCAGCAAATTTGAATTCAAGCAGATTTTTGTATTCGATGAAAAACATATTTTGAATTTTAGGATTCTTACATACTGTATATCCTGTTCAGATAAATATTGACGTTTTAGACGGTCCATCTTCTATAGTTTTGATCACACAAATTAGGATCAATCCTCTGCAGAGTAAAATACAATCTTACAAATGTATATTACTAATAATAATAATAATAATAGTATAATCTAATCTGTCTCTTTAACTGTGCAGAAATACCAGCTTGAAACGGGATGAAGATGTTTTTTTAATATTGATTCGAAGCAAAGAATCCACATTTTCACAAAACCCCTAATATTAGGCTATTACAACTTTTATAACTTGCATGCACCTTTTAACCATTTAAAGCTGTCATGCTGGTCGTTTATCTCTGCATTTGCTATAGTATATACGACATGATATCATGCAGGCTGCTGCACTGTCATTGGACAAACTTCCAAAAATGTAGCCTTCAATAACTTCATTGCCCTTTTTATTTTGCATGTCACCTGCCATACTGTGAGCAGCCTCTGACAATTTCAAATGCTCATCACATCTTATCTAATTTATTCCTCACCCTTTCTCATATTCGATGTGTTTGCAGTGTATGAAATGATAGTGAGGCACATCTTATTATCTGTTCATACTACTCGGGAATAACTATGGATCCGAACACTGTTACTTCTGTGTCCTGTAAAGAGCCCACAGGACATGAGTAAAGAGATGTTCCATATTTGCTGCACTTCCCCGGTATGTCAGAGAGCTGATGCCTCTTTAAGTGGAGAACGGGGCGGGGACATATACCATGTGCTCTTAGGACACACCCCTTCCACACAGGCAGATCCAGCACTGCATTATTTGCTTTGGTCTGTGCACAGGCGTGCTACCCTGTGTGTGTGTGTGTGTGTGTGTGTGTGTGTGTGTGTGTGTGTGTGTGTGTGTGTGTGTGTGTGTGTGTGTGTGTACTCAAGGCAGGGCAACATGGGGGGCGTCCTGGTGGGGGTTCTCTCTATCTGCAGGAGGTGAGTTCAGATCATTCTCAATTATGCCATCTGTTTCTTGTAAATTATGAAGAGACAGAGATAATTAAAGAGGCTACTATGCTCGCAAAGCAACACAGACATGGTCTTATTTGATCTAAACATAAATAATTATTTAATCACATTAATAACTGAACAATATTTTCTTTACAAAAAATAACAATTATAAAAAGGCACACATGTTATTCCTAGGCAAGTTAAGGGAGCGAAATACTCAGTTTTATTGGATTTGAAATGTGAAAAATAAACTGTAACTTGTCCCACATGAATGACGATGAAAGAAGTGATGGGTTGCTATGGAGAGATGGTCCCGTCTGTCTGCTGTTTAAAAGGTAAAATGAGGATAAGACAGAGGCAGTCTACTCAGTGGTGCATTCAAGGTCATAACCATATAAAGTTGTCTGCTTTTTTCTCTGTTTACTCACTGAGTATGTGGGTTAGTCGATGATAAACCTTCATTGCAATGTGCTCCATTAATAATTGCCAGAATATGTGTGATTTCACTTTCATGTAACATTTACAAGACTGAATGAATACAAAAAATCAAGCACATTCTCATTTTGCATTATATGCAAGAAAAACAAGATGGGAGTCGTGAAAATGTGCACCTAATTTTTTAATTGGCATTGCTAAAGTGATTTCACCACTAAACCAACATCTGTTTATGTGTGTTTTCTATTGGTGATGAGATGACTGTTTTGTCGGTGCCGATGTGTTACTGTCATCAACGCAGCAGCATGTCTCTGCAAGCTGGTTTTAAATGAATCTTTTGCAGCTTATGCATTATTTACCTCATTATCTCTTAGATGTCCTACACTTCTTCAGCACCTCATATTAAGGTGCTATGCTGCCTTTAATTGCTGTCGGAAATATTCTAACGACAGGTAAATCATGTTTAGAGGATGTATGTTTTACATACAGAAAATAATAGATGTCGCATTCTCACTTTTACATAACAGGTTTTTCCAATAAGGTTTATAACATTATAACAATAATGGTTTTGACTATTTCTTATAACCCTCCTTTAATTTAAAGCCGTTTAAAGAAATATATTCCCAACAAGCTTCCTTCTGATGTGACCCAACTTGAATAAAGATGGGAAAAATGTGGTTATTTTTCAGGGATTTCTACGTTTTTGTCCGTTTTCAGCACCTTAGTTCTAATTGGGCAGGGCTTGCTAAAAGTCGTGACCCACCAATCCATATTCAGAAATGTTTTATTTGGTGTAATGCTAGTGATGCCTGAGACAGTTAATCAAATCTTATTATCCCTTATTTATTGAATGGATATATAATGTTGTGTAGAGAGTGTTTCCTGGGCATTATCTCAAATCCCTCTAGATAAAAAAAGATGCAGTTTGTCTCTGTATTGAAGATACTGCTTGTTAAACCAGCCTGCTTAATCTAGAAACGTATCTGATCTCCACTCTGCTGTCCGCAGGCCGGACCTGTGGGTTTTATGCAAGCGCAAGCATTACCAACGCAAATTAATCCAAATAAATCAGAGAAGAGCAAAGCGGCCGCAAGTCCTCAAAACCAATCAGTTCCTCAATCTGCTTATTCCTCAGCACCATCACTGCCACCCTGGTAAGAAGAGCCCTGAGCATTAATCAACCAGAGGTTCAGCATCCTAAAGTGGAAACATCCATTCACTTCCAATCCTGGAAGCACATTTAGGTCACGCAAAGACAAGTTCTTCATGTGTCTCTCCTCACTTCAGATCAGCAAGTAATATTCCTTGCGAGACTCAGTGTGTTTATTTTCTTTTCATTTTGTGGATTGATTTTGAATCTCAAGATCCCTGTCCTGTGGGAACCAATTACAGACATTTGGGGGAGGATTTCATTGTGCCCATGGGACCCTGAACGCCACTCCAGGCTTAACGACCACCTACTGACTGAACCCTGTACCCCGCGACCAACGTCTGATTCTCACACAGGCTCCAAAAAAACAACAACACAGACACTAATCAGCAAAGAAGAGGAGCAGGGGGTAGCTTTGCCTAGAGGGCATTTGGATATAAAAAGAAGTAAGAATATAAGGGCTCGGGTTAAATATGACTACAGGAGAGCTGAATTAGTTAAGTTTGCAATCAGCATTTTCTCATTCTATCTATCTCTGACCCCCACAGAGATGCCCAGACGTGTGTGTGTCTTTCTGTCTGTCAGTGCGTGTGTCTGAGTTTTTACCTTCCAGGCCAATGTCTTCTCCCTCCCCTTCCTCCATCAGAGGAATTGCCAAACAGCTGGTTGCCATGGTTTCAGTTTTCCTCCCACCAATCCGTAGCCATTTCACTGGGGATCCAGAGGGGGGGTAAGCCTGTACAGTCTGGCAAATAGCAGAGATATGAGCGGAGATTAGCAAACATCCAGCCAGGAACAGCAAATCCTTGCTCAAATATCTCCGGTTAGTTAAAATAACAGTGAACTGGTTGATTTTTGTCTCATGTCTCATTTCCCCTAATTGAAATGCTTCTTTCTAAAAGGGTAACTGTGAGGTGAAACGGCCATTTGTATTCCTGCATTGTGTTTTTCATTGACATTTTTGGCAAACATCATATTTTAGTTAACTGATGAAATATGTTGTAATGTTACATCGAAGATAAATCAAAGCTAATCATGTTCATGCACAAAAAAATACTTCAGTTTTAATAGCTCTGTAATAAGATGAATCTTGTGATTTTAATATCTTAGTGATGTATCAATAAAACCTAATGAGAAACGTATTGAATCCCTTTAAAGGGATTTAGTGGAGTTTTCATGAGTCAAACATTATTAATGTAAGAAGAGGGCTCCCTCTGCTGGTTATATGGGAGAACAGTCACACATTGAATGGTTTTCAAATTCAAAACCACTGGCTTTGACAAAACAAATGTCTGTGATCATTATCCAGTAAAAATCATGCATCTCAAAATTAGCTGATTTAAATCTTGTGTTGTGTTGCTTTTTGGGTTTAAAAACCTCTTACTCGTGAAGCTAAATAATACTTAATCAATCAATAAAATGCAAAGCTATAACAGAGACTGTTTTTCTTTAGATAGGTCACTACAGTGCATTTTTATATTTGTAAGGGTAAAGCTGTAACAGAGAGCCGTTTTATCTTTAGTAGTAGGAAGGAATTAAGACAAATTAACTTCTTAAATCTTGTACACACCCATAGCCAGACCACACAGGTGTCCTTTATACTACCTGATTAGATAGTGTTTGATTGACAACTCCTTCTCTCACATGTTTGCTTTGTTGCTCAAGGGACAGGACCATATGCATAGAAATGTGCTTATTTTATGGGAAATGTGTTAGGCAGGAGGAATGGCACTGATGTTTATTATACATTGATTAATGGCTGAATTGTATTTACAGTAGCTGCTGCAGTTTTGGTTCCTGGTATTTTGCATGTTGGCTCACTGTAAACAGAGCCATCGTTAATGTTATTAGTAACACCTGTGCTCAACCCAACTGCAAAATGACTTCAGGTCTAATTAGCCAGATTTATTGAAAACACCTGTGTGGGTGTGCAGAGCATTTAAGTCTCGGGTAATCCATTGTAACTGTTTTGACATCAAGAACAGTGTGTATTATTAGTTTGACTTGGACAAATGGGGTTACTTGCCCTGGATGGTCTTTTTTACTACTTTTTCTGTCCAAGTTGTTCAAGGTTCTGTAAAACCATGTGGATTCTTATTTCTGATGAGTTGTCCTTAATACTCTTTGTATTAATCTTCTTCCTTTTTATAGGCTCTATGGTTGGGTCATATTTGAAGTAGCCTAAATAAATAAACAAACATACAAAGAATGATTAAATGTCGAAAAGCTGACTAAGTATGACTCATAATTTTGCCAAACTTGCATTGATACCAAACTATAGGTCAAAAGCCAAATTTGAACTGACATACTGATACACCACCATTGCCAGTAGATGTCACCATCTAACAGACCGGTCTTAGACCTTATACTTTCCCTTGTACACCTTGTCCCCTCTTAAGTGTGTTTACAAGCAGAAAAATGAAATGACTCACGCGTAAAATAACCAATTTCTTCTAGGCAAGTTAAGCAAGAAAACGAAATCCAAATCCTACACGATAACAGGTGAATATTGGCTTACAAGGTGCATATAAGGACCTGAATTAAGTTAATGTGTGCATGACTGAGACAAAGTAACAGTAAAAGTTTACCGTACAGCAAGTTTGTGATTAAAACACAATATTATGAGTTTGTTTTACCTGTAGATGAGGTTGTATCCTGCTGTGTCGACTCGTCCCCCACCTGTCCGTGGGAGGGTCCCGGCCTGTCAGCAGGTCCCTCGGGTTCCTGATCCCTCTCAGCTGACGTCAGGAGAAATGGCGGACCAGGATGGCAGCGACGCATCTCCTCCCGAGTCCCAAGGTGAGTTCATACAGACCGAAAAGTTAACTTCAAATAACTTTTTTAAAAGGACGTGCTGATATTAAACGTGTTGCTCAACCGAGGGGATTCGGTTAGTTTTCGTGTCGGTGTTATGAACGCGGAGAGACTGAAGCACCGGGTCACGGGAGTGGGATTAACTCACCCAACCGGTTGCTTTACGTTCATTAACGATTAAACACGACCTGTTTTCTCAACTACACATATATTGACATTTGTACATGTGTTGTTTGTTGTTTTAAATATATATTAAGCTCCTTGCGCTGGCAGGCACCTGTTGCTGACATTTTGTCTACTACGTCGAAATGCTCCTTCAGTTGACGTGACAGGTGAATTAATGGAAACGGGCTCAGGGTGTCCTTGCAGAAGTGGTTGAATCTGTCTTCGGGCTACAACTTTGTGTTCTGGTGTTTCAGGTTTTTATTTTGACAGTTAGGCTTGGCTTGTAAATACCTCAAACATTTCTACAATGCCAGTTAACAGGACACCTATGACCCAAGCTATTGCATTTAGCCAATGTTGTCTTTTGCTTTTGCTTTTTAAACGCTAGGACAGAAAATGACCAGTCAGCTTCACTCATAGAACCACCCGTATGTTCTTTGCTACTGTTGAATCCCAATGCATTATAAATGTTTTATTTAAAACTGAAAGCCAACTAATATGGAGGTGTGTTTAGGAGTGTGTGTGTCAGGTTATTCATTTGCATATTTGCATGTTTCACACATGGCCACACCTTCATTAGTCGTAAAACAACAGGTGGTTTTTGTTTGCTAAGAAAGTAGCCGTCAGATCCCTTGTTGGGATTTTAGGATGTTGTTTCTTATGTAATGCATTATTGGATTACTTTCTAAAGCTATTCATGTGAGAAGAAAGATACATTTTGCAAAGTTTTGTAGTAATCTATATTTCTTTCTTAAATACACTCACATATTTTACTATAAATTCTCAGCCATTAGACTATCTTTTATTTTTGCTGAAGATGGAAAAAGCCTAATTTTAGTTTAAAGTTTAAATCTGACATCCGATTTATGTATTCCACAGTTTAACTGTAGAATTCATAAATGCAAATACAAAATTATAAAAAAGGAAACTCAACATATTTGAGCCAGTTAAAGACGTGGTGGCATGGTGCAAATCTTTGGAAATAATTGGCATCAAAGCGCAGTGATGCTGTTGTCGCAGAGAGTTTTAAAGGCCCAAAAATACTAAAGTATCCCACTTTTTTTAAACTACAAGGAGTTTGAATGAAAGAAAATGTAATTAGTCAAAAATAATAGCACGAAAGTTCTCTTTAATCAGCTGTTAAATCAGCATTCTGTCAAACTAAGAGATTACAGCTTTTCACTACAAACAACTCTAACAAACACGACCCAAAGTGAAATCCATGGTTGTTTTGTACTCCTTAGTCCATTTGTTTTCCTCTGTCTAGCCGTAAAAAATTACCCTTATCATGAATTGTTTCAGTTTCCCCATGAATGCCTACTGAAATTGGTCTCATAGGACTCTTCTGCAAAGTTTCGGCATCTGTTTTCTGTAACAGCATGCTTTCAAGCTTTCAAATCCTGTTGCCATCTTAGTATGCAAAAAGAACTTCCTACTACATGCATTATTTATCTGATATTCCCATGCTGCTGTGAGTTGTAAAGATACACAATACACTGCACCCCCATACCTTTGATCTAACCAGTGAAACTGGATCTATTATTTTCACCTTCCTACTGGATTATCCGCTGTTTTCTCCAATCTGCCATTTTTGTATCTGCACCATCTAATAGTTGGACCGCACAGTAGTAGTCAGATCGCTATTCCTGCTGATTTTAATTCTAGGTCTGGGCTGGGATTCGTTCACTTAAATGTGCGCAGTCTTTTACCTAAACTAGATTTTGTCCGCATTTGGGCGAGCTCGACTGATGCTGATGTCATTGTCTTATCAGAAACGTGGCTAAATAAATCTATATTGGCCTCTGACATATCCTTAAATGGTTACAGTGTATATCGTACCGACCGACCTAATAAAGGTGGTGGCGTTGCTATTTATGTGAAAAATAAGTTTTGCATAACCAAGATGGTTTCCAAATCTATCAGTAAACAACTAGAATTGTTAGCCTTAAATATCGAAGTAGCAAAGGGTCAACTGGTCATGGTGGTGGGCTGTTACAGACCCCCCTCAGCTGTCAAGGACTCCTTGTCTTTGTTGGCAATTTTTTTATCTCAACTTGACTACAAGGAAATAGTGCTGCTTGGTGATTTTAATTGGGACTGGTTAACAACAGTATCAGAGGATTTTAAAAACCTTTGTATCTCATTGAATGTTACTCAGATTGTTGACAGTCCTACTCGCCCTAACATTAAGTTCCCAAATAAATCCTCCTTAATTGATCTCATCTTAACTAATGTTCCCCGTAAATACTCATCTGTGGGAGTATTTGCTAATGATTTGAGTGATAGGTGGTACCTTGTCCCATGGTTGCGCAGCTAGACAAACATCCGTACAGGTTGCCGAAATTTTTCGTCAAATCACCGTGTCCCTAACGAGGTCAAAGGTAAATAAACGTCTGAATAAGGTTCTGTCTCCTCGACGTGTAGATTTTCATAAGGGATTTTGCTCAGACGTCAACCGCTTGTAAATTATTTTGGTTCGTAGCTAGAGTCCGCACATGCGGTGAATGTTAGCGGCACTCTAGTCCCTCGCTAACCTATCCTACCTTCAAAGAAGAATTGACCGAAAAGAATATATTTTTAACATGTCCACTGACTCCCGCAGGATGTCAATCGCTTCCGTTTGTCGGGAACGTATGTTCCCATGTCACACCCAATTATAGAATGTCAAACAAGTGTTTACAGTCAAAGTTAGTTGGGGGTGGTGACCTAATTGCGTCGATATTGAACTAGTCATTACCCCGTCACCACGTAAGCATATTTTGTTTAGGGGTGGTATCAGGTCCGGTTTCATTTTCCGAGTGTCTCTAAAAGGACCCGGAAGTTCGCCTCTTGTCCTTGAACCAAGGACAATCTTCTTTGGATCGATCTGGAGTCAAAAATCCGGTCCAATAACTGTACTGCAAATTTTCACTCCTGTAAGTAGTTCCGGTCTATGGTCCCATAAACATTATCCAAATTGGCGTGAAGTAAAAAGTAGGAACACATAACTGTTCTATAGATTTTGGTCTGGACCACAAGAAAAATCGAAAACTTTTCCTCGTAATGGAACAAATAGTTTGTAAAATTTTCCTTCGAAATCAAGCTCTCGGCCAAGACTTATTACAATTTTTTTGTCCGAACGTTAAGATTTTTTGCGGAGGAATTACCTGCACTACCCTGGAACGTGTTATGTAAAGTGCATAGCAGCGTAATCTTTACATTCAAACGCGTAGCTGTTACAAGATTCGATAACTATATCTACCTCTATTACATCCCTCGATTTGTCTTTGGAGACACCATGTGTACGTTACAAATTGGTGAGTCTTCACTCGGGTAGTTTTACTTTTTAACCCTGGAAGTGTTAAGTGTCAGGGTTTTTGGGGGGGACGACCGACCTATACGTTATGACTCATCGGAAGACGAAATTCTACGCTACCTGTTGACCATAGTTTCGGCGAAACCTTTCCCAGTTTTTAATCTCGACGTCTGTTGAACGAAATAGGATTTTTATGAGCGTATAAAGTAAAGTGGTTGAAGTAACACCCCGTCACTACCACGATACAACGAAAGACTCGGACTGACTACAATCCTAGTCCTACCATAAACAGCAATTTTTGTGAAAATGGACGAAGGAAGTATCGAAAGTTCTTGGAACCCGGTCTTGACCTGTTAAATCTATAACCCGACTATTAAAATTATTTCACCGGCAGGGAGGATAAATCATTTCCCGGTCCTGGTTGACAATTCGACCTGAAGGTATAAAACCTTACACCATAAAATACACGACTCCCTCTCCAATTTTCTCATCAACTCCTCCACTCGTTATTTTAGACGTCGATAAGAAATTTTTCTTTCCAAGATACAAATGTAGTTATCATTTCCTCTTTTGACTTTCCCAAAAGGTCTGGTGTAACAAGTCTCAGTGACTGACAACAAAAGTGTCCTTCGTCCAATCACTGCTTAGTTTGTCCTCTCGGTGTCCTGCTGTTTAACGAGTATTTTTTAAGTTGTACCAACCGGGACAGGCTATAATCAACGGTCTACGACACCTATTCGTGCCTCATCGGTAAGGCCTAAAGGTGCCAACCTATAGCTTAAAAATACCGACGGTTTTACAAGCTCCTAAATAAGTCCAAAAAACACCTTGACTGTCTATCTATGGAATCCCTGAGTCGGTGAAAAGTAAACACTGCACTTCGATAAGATTCGACGGCGGGCACTTTCGCACTCGTAAAGATGGAGACTCGGACTAAAGGATCGGAACCGGGTCCGGAACACAAGCGAGTAGTACTCTCCTCCTGCCGGCATCTATTAAAGTCTCTTTTGTTCCCTTACAGAGCAGCGGACCAGTGAGTTTTAAATGCGTCCACGCACGTCCACAGATAGATATTACAAGGTATTTGGTTCTATTTTTATTCTGGTACGTCAAGATGTAGTAGTGTGTCTAGCTAAAAAAAGGTAGTTTTGGTTTTTTAGTACTTGTTGAGGACGAGGTGTTTTACAAACACAGAGAGACAATGACTATTACATTCCCAATGGGAAAACCTGAAAACACAGGGATAACACGCGATGTCG